AATCTGGTCCGTCTTCGCTCTGGCTTGGAGCGGAAGCGAGTGCGAAGTCCTCACGGTGGGTGCGGTCGACCCTGGAGGGGGACGACGCTGACGATGACGACGACGACGACGAGGCCGACGCTGACGACGACGACGCCGACGCTGACGACGATGACGACGGCGACGACGATGACGGCGACGACGTCGATGGCGAGCATGCTCCGTGTTCGCTCTGGCTTGGAGAGGGGACGACGACGACGACGACGTCGGCGACGACGCTGACGTCGACGATGACGACGGCGACGATGGCGACGGCGACGGCGAGCGTGTGCCGTCTTCGCTTTGGCTTGGCACGGAGACGATTGCGAAGGCCTGTCTGCGGGTGTCGCCGATCCTGGAGGGGGACGGCGACGACGACGATAACGCTGACGACGACGGCGACTGCGACGACGACGGCGACGGCGACGGCGGCGACGGCGACGGCGACGGCGATAGTGACGGCGGCGTCGACGGCGACGGTGACGACGAGTGTGCTCGGCTTCCATTCTGGCTTGGAGCGGAGGCGATTGCGAAGGCCTCACGGTGGGTACCGCCGACCCTGAAGGGGGACGATGATGACGACGACGACGACGACGGCGCTGACGACGACGACGACGACGACGACGACGACGACGACGACGACGACGACGGACGACGACCGACGACGACGACGACGACGACGGCGCTGACGACGACGACGACGACGACCGCGGCGGCGGCGGCGACGGCGACGGCGAAGGCGATTGCGACGACGAGGGCGTCGGCGATGGCGTCGGCGACGAAGACGACGACGCTGACCATGGAAAGAGCGCGCTCTGTGGTCGTTCGGAGGGGGTGAGGTTTGGAACCGGACCCCCTCTCTCTTGGATGGAGGGCGGGGGGGGGGTTCGAACCCCCCCCCTCCCCTCCCCCTGCTCCTGGACTTTTCCTCGCTCCCTCTCCTCGGGTCGGTGGCGGCTGGCGGCGGCGGCGGGGACGACGACTTCCTTTTCTGGGCCGGCGCCAGTGCCTGCAGCGGCGGGCGGCGGCGGCCGGGAGCGTCGACGAGGACGACAGCGACGACGATGACGACGACGACGACGCTCTGCCACCGTGCCTTGGTTTTGAGTCAAAGTCCTAATTGATGCCTCTTGGGGTCTCGTCGGAGGGCTCTCGGGGGCCTTTGAAGGGCATTTGTGCAGCCTCCTGGGCACCTCTTGGGCGTCTCTTGAGGCCTCTCTGAAGTGGTGGTGTTTGTGGTGGTAGGCTGTGGTGGTGGTGGTGGTTGTGGCGGTGGTGGTGTGGTGGTGGTGTGGTGGTGGTGGTTGTCGTGGTGGTGTGGTGTCCGGTTGTGGTTGTGGTGGTGGTGGTGGCGGTGGTTGTGGTGGTGGTGCGGTGGTTTCTGGTGGTAGTTGTGGTGGTGGTGCTGGTGGGTGAAGGTGGTGGTGGTGGTGGTGGTGTGGTGGTTTGTCGTGGTGGTTGTGGTGGTGGTAGTGGTTGGGGTGGCAGTGGTTGGTTGTGGTTGTGGTGGTGGTGGTGGCGGTGTTGCTGGTTGTGGTGGTCGTGGTTGTGGTTTGTTGTGGTGGTGGTGGTTGTGGTCGTGGTTGGTGGTGGTGGTGGTTGTGGTGTTGGTGGTGTGGTCGTTTGTGGTGGTGGTGGTGGTGGCGGTGGTGGTGGTTGTGGTGGTTGTGGTTGTGGTGGCTGTGGTGGTGGTTTGTCGTCGAGGTGGTGGTTGTGGTGGTGGGTGGTGGTGGTGGTGGTTGTGGTGCTGGGTGTTGGTGGTGGTGGTGGCTTGGTGGTGGTGTGGTGGTGGTTTGTGGTGGTGGTGGTGGTGGGTTGTGGTGGTGGTGGCGTGGGCGGTGGTGGTGGTGGTTGTGGTATGGTGGTTTGTGGTGGTGGTGGTGGCGGTGGTGGTGGTGGCGGTGGTTTGTGGAGGTCTTGCTGGTTGTGGTGGTGGTGGCGGTCGTGGTGGTGTTGGTGGTGGTTGTGTGGTGGTTTGTGGTGGTGTTGGTGACGGGTTGTGCTGCTGGTAGTGGTGGTGATTGTGGCGGTGGTCGTGGTGGTGTGGTAGATTTTGGTGGTGGTGGTGGTGGTAGTGGTGGTGGTAGTGGTGGTGGGTTTGTGGTGGTGGTGGTGGTGGTGAGTTGTGGTGGTGGTGGTTGTGGTGGTGGTGGTGGCTGTGGTGGTGGTGGTGGTGGTGGTTGTGTGGTGGGTTGGTGGTGGTGGTGGTGGGTTGGGCGGCGGTGGTTGTGGTTGTGGTGGTGGTAGTGGTAGTGGTGGTGGCGGTGGTGGTGGTGGTGGCGTAGTGGTTTGTGGTGGTGGTGGTGGTTGGCTGTGGTGTTGGTGGTGACGGGGGTGCTGCTGGTAGCGGCTCTGGTGGTGGTGGTGGGGGGTGGGTGGTGGGTGGTGGTGGTGGTGGTTGTGGTGGTGGTGGTGTGGTGGTTTGCTGTGGTGGTGGTGGTGGTGGTGGTGGGTTGTGGTGGGTTGTGGTGGTGCTGGTGGT